ACTGGATGTTCACAACAAAGTGAATGAAAAACTGGCGTTTGTGATATTGGCCTTCATGGGAGAATGTGTGCAGTCTCACGGCCTGGGGCCCTGGGCTCCCAGCATTCTCACAAGTGAAGAGTTAGTTAAAAAAAAAAAAGCTAAGGATGAATTTGGATTTCTTGAAAGGTCCCACAGCTTGGAAATCACCTCTGATTTGGAAGAATGTCTTTTATAGATGCTAATTATAATTATTCCTAAAGTTGGCTATAAGATGTTGAGACTGGGTTAATGCTAATTTCTTTGTTTCAACTTGATTTCACCAGAATGACTATTCTTATATAGTGCACAAAAGTTGAAACACACAGGCAGATGGGGACACGGCTGGGTGTATGAAGCAACTCCAATGGCATTTCCCACCAACAAAGTGAAAGCATTAAATGAAACTCGTGTCTTTTAAGGACTAGAAACAAGTTCTCAGACGGTTTTTTGTTCATAGAGGAGTCCCTTCCTTATAATCCACCATCCCTTGCTAGTTCAGAGTAATGAGAGCTCCCTAGCATTTGAGCTACACCACAGATGTCTAAGCTCAGTGATCTAGTTTAACGGGAATTTCTTTTAAGGAGAACAAGATAATGGCAAGTTTCATTGTACAGAGAGAAACCCTCTCAAAAATCTCTTCACGTTGGAGTCACAGCACCTTCCCCGTCTGGGCACTGCGTTCTGTCAGCTTTGCCTTCCTGCAGGGATAGCCTGACTTCAGGATTTCCCTTCAGAGCTGAGAGCAAGTCCTAACAGACCTCACACACACTGTGGGCAGGATCAAGCCTAATCAGACACTCCATCTGTCTCGGGCTCCTCTCTAAGGTGTAGCCAGCACAACTGGGACCGAAGTCTGGCAGACAAGAGGCCACGTGACGGCATCAGTATGGAAGCGAAACCTCGAACTAGAGGCAGTGCTTTTGTCACTCGTTCTGGGGGTGGGGAGAGGTGACCTATATAGGATAGAAGAGCAAGCACTTCGTGCACAAAGTCGTTTGCAAATCATACAGGTGCCTTATTAGTTCTACAGAGCCACTCCACTCAGACCTAGGATGAGGACAGATTAGGAAGCAGAAAAGAGACGTTGAGTCCCTTTACTAACACCTGGGAGGCAGGGCAGCTTGCGGACCCACAAAGCCACCCGGGAAAAGCTGGGACTGGAGGCAGCTGGGCACTCAGAGGCCAGTCAACAGCCCTCTTTCACTTCTGCCTTCTGCCGAGGAACCAGAGGCTCCTGACTTAAACCTACTGCCCCGGATCATCACATGGCACAGAGGGCTAATGTGAGAGCCTGGGTGGCCTCACGCCTAGTCTAAGCTCTTTCTAACAGCAGGATGCTCTGTTGCCCTGGTCTTCCATTTAGAACAATACACAGAATACCCTCCATGGAAATTAATCGGTTATTACTGAGTGTCACCTCCTCAGAAGGCCTTTTATCATCATCAGCCCAAAGCCTACCCTCCACTCACTCTGCTTTATTTGTGTTACAGCACTTACACGTTTCTGTTTGTTTTTAATAATTGCCCTGCCAGCAATGTAAGTAAGCAGGGACCTCCGGAGCCTCATTCAATGCTGTATTTCTAGGTATTACAGAGCTAACTGGCATTTATAAAATGCCCAATAAATGCTGCATAGTAACTAAACAAGTCAACTACTACACATAGAAGTTTCTGAATTCTTAAAACAAAGAAAGGGGTGGGGAAGCAGTAGGGGTAGTATCATTCCTAATTTGCTGAAATCTTTTATGAATGCAAATCTGACCTTCTCTCTGCTTAGTAACTCTTATCTAATGACTGGCAGTGCTGTTCTCTAAAATAGGATAGTGTGGAGGACAGGACTTCAAAGGCTGCATGACTGATCCAGCACCGAGAGGGGAGAGGAACACTGAAGACTGATTAAGTGCAGCCCAGCTGACAAGAGCCAAGAATTTTTTCTTGGGGTGGGGGGAAGGTAAGCTTTGTTGTGTTTTTCTGGAGCAGGGCAGAGGGGACACCCTGACCTTAAAAACAAACAAACAAAAAACCAAAAGTGACAAGGAAGCACAATGATCACTGCAACATTATTTTTAAAAAAGGAGATATTTGGGGGACATTCTAGGACAAAAAGGCATTTAGCTAATTTTCGAATCTGAAATACTATATAATGTTAATCATAAAGGACACAAAACCAAATATCAAAGTCTGAAGTATAGAAACACATTTTTGGATGATATTTGAATAGAAACAGCATTGAAGATGGTGGTGCAAACAGAGGACAGAGTGAATCAGACCATTATCAGTCCTTAGCATGTTGTGCTTATGAGGGTTTTCCATTTAGAGCCAAGCATTAAAGGGGCTGCTGTCCATTCCCAGGTGTTCAGTAATTAAAAGGAAAATAGTCTTCAAAAAATAAAATGTGACTAAAAAGGTACAAAAGCATATGTGTTTACTACTAGAACTATTTCTAAACTATGATGCCATAAGTACCCGGGGGCTAGGCCTGTGCTCCTGATAACCAAGCTGCAAGGCCAGCTCAGAAGAGGTCCTCAGTAATAGCTATTAAGTTGAATTAAATATGAACATCAACTGTGACATTTTTCTGATACCTGTTTGGTCACCTGTATGAAAGGCTGATCTTATTTATACTTGGAGAAAAGCCTGCCACTAACTACTAGTTTATAAGACTTTTGATATCATAAAACAACAATGATGAAATTGTGAAGAACTCTGGGACTCTGAATAAAGATGAAGAAAGTCTCACAGAGGAGAGGACAGCTGAGTTGGGTCTTGGTGTGGGGTGGAGGGATGAAGAGAGGCCACTGATGATAAGCAAAGAACCCTAAGCGGGTGGGGCTTACTGTTCCCATTTTATAGTGGAGGGAAATGAAGATTAAGAACCTCAAGCTGGGCAAACAGTTGATATAAAATTCGTATCAGTTTGGTACCAAAATCTCTGCAGGCTTTCCTAGGAAAGTCCATTGAAATTTTAACACCAGGATTAAGTTCTAAAAATTTAAGTGGTCAGTCTGGTTCTAGTCAAGAATGAAATGACCCAGAAGCTAATGCTCTTCTGAGAAACACCATGCTCAGGCAGAGGAAACGGGCTCTCAGAGCACAGGGGCAGCGTGTGTGGCAGCCTCCGTCTGTCTGGGGGACGCAAGTGGTTTTGTTTGGACAGAGCACAGGCCGCACGGTTGGAGGTGAGGAGAGGCAGAACACGGAGCCTTGAGGAGAGGGAGACGCGGAGCCACGCTAATGTGGTCTGCACTGTGTCCTTCAGACGGGGGAGCACTGGCCCTTTTTAAGTAGGGAAGTGACACCATTCGTTTGTGTTTCAGCAAATCCCTCTGAGAGCAACACGAAGAACTGGCAGAAATAAAGTCTGGAAGCAGGACAGTTATCTAAAGACTATTACAGTAACCCAGATGGAAAGTTAGAGCACCTGAGCTGAGGCTGTGGACTGCTGAGTGTGAGAGGAAAGACTCGAGCAGACCCCAAACATGGAGTTGACGGGACTGGATGCAGGTTCCTAGAGAGAAGAGAATCAAAGGGAGCGCCTCTGAGAAGAACTGAGAATTCACAGACACACTAAGAATTCAAAGCCTAGCAAAGAATGAGGTAGTTTACGAAGCCAGGTTTCCACCAGGGCTGCTGGTCACATGGTCAAAAATCAAATAACTACAAAAAGCAGGAATGAAATAAATTTAGCTATAAAGATGAAAGCGAGATCTAGCAATGGTTACCAATAACGAACTTGATAGTAGAATATAGTTAATAAGTCCTGGAGCCATATATTTAAATAATAGAAAAAAATGAAGCCTCTTTCTCCCTAGAAATAAATACATTATTTTTAAGCCTCTATATATCATCCCAACTGAGAAAAAGTCTCTACAGAGCAAAACCTTCCAAGTCCTGGGCCAGTGTGCACTTGAGTTCCTCCAGCACAGCCCCGGGTTTGCAGAGTAAGATGCCATTTTGCTGGTTTTTATTACTTGTCTTTTAAGCAGGCAGACTGCCACTGGTTAGTAAGGAATGGTTGACAAGAATTAGGGGAAAGGGAATGGAGAAAGATTAAAGGGGCAAAAAGGGGAAGAAGAGGGACACATACTATATTTCAAGTCTATAGCCGGTATAAAAACCATCAGATGTTTTAAAGCACTGCTTTGATTTTGGTGGTTTGTCCTCTTTAAAGGAGTAATGCTGAATGGCGTCAGTATAAGCAAAAAGATTCACAAGCAAGTGCCTCTGTTTATCAATAATGTCAGCAGTAGGACCAGAGAGTTATTCTTACCATGTTTCAGATGTAGGCAGCTGTCATTCTTGGACCTGTACCTGCAGAAAATTGTGTCTTTAACAAATTTTTATTGAAGAGGTTTTTGTACATTCCAAATACGTAGTAGCTACAATATAATGTGGACCTGGTTTGCTTTATTTTTCATGGTTCTTATACCAGCCATTTTTATTTGTGCAGTACAAGTAGAGGCCTTATCTTTAATGAAAGAAAAGGGGAAATAAGTAGGACCTCACTGACTGATGCCTTGAATTACTGGACAGGAAAGATAAACCCCAGCATCACGTTTCATATTTTTAAATAACCCCAAACCATAGAAAAGATCTCCAGGGTATACAAGGTGGCATATCACAGGGTCATCATAAAAACTGTAATGTGAGGAATTATGCAACTAGAAGAACAGAAGTGTTAAAGCAAAGAGAAGACATACACAAAAGCAAAAACAAAATCAAGGAAAAAGAAAACAATCACAGTTAATGATGAGGATTCCCGGTAACAGGGCTTGGGGGAGAGATTTTTAGATGTACCTTCACATAGTCACATTTAAAAGAAAGGTCTTTCAAACAGTTTAAAAGAACTTCAGGAAGAAAAGCCGAGTTTAGGAATCACAGTATAGCTGAAGAATAAAGCAGTGTATAGAAAGATGCAGACTGCTTTAAAAATGTTCCTCAGAAGCAGGAGAATGGGCTGGAAAGTCACACGGGGCCTACCTGATGTGGATTCCTGCAGCTTCTCTCTCTTCCTCTTCTTTTTCTTACCCTGGAAGAAGACAGGCACACTGTCACGGGCTGTACTAGGAACACATGGATGAATGTGACACAGAAGGACAGGCAGGCAGTCAACCGAGAGAGAAGATGCCTCATTATCTCTGTTTACCATCTAGACACCGAGAGCAAGAGAGAAATTCTTCTCTGTGACCTTTGTCTTTTTAGCTTCACATTTAATGTCATAAGTACTGAGTTGGCAGTCACCACACGCACACAGGATAATGATGTCCTAGGGCTGTGGTGGGCTTCCTTGGTGGTTCAGGGGTAAAGAATCCACATGCCAATGCAGAAGACACAGGTTCAGTCCCTGGGTCGGGACGATCCCCTGGAGAAGGAAATGACAGCCCACTCCAGTATTCTTGCCTGGGAAATCTCATGGACAGAGGAACATGGCAGCTACAGTCCATGAGGTAGCAGAGAGGTGGACACGACTTAGCAGCTAAACAACAAGGGCTGTGGCCACAGACACCACCTCCCATTCAAGGAAAGCCCACATAAGGAGGTACTCTGCTACCCCGTTAATTGCTAACCATCATACTTAGAGTCCACTTCTGGTAGAGTTGATGATAAATCTTCCTTACTGTGAATTCGACCATCTAATTAAAAATCCACAATGTTAACAGGATCTCCAGCCCCTGTGGCATAGACATGACATAACTGAGACAGCAGTAGAAGGGTAAGACAGAACCTGAGAAAACTCAAAAGGTTAATTGTAAAGACTAATTTATGCCAGCTAAAGACCTTGCTCCCTAAAAGACATAACAACATGAATATGCCTGCAACTTAAAATACATTTCAAAATCATCTTAATCACATATTTACATTTTAGGTCTATTTATACTATTTATACTATTTATACTGTTTATACTGTCTGTTTTCCTTCACAATTACTTTCCCCTCAAAAATAATTGTAATAAGGCATAGACACAATATGTATTCCACTTATATGCATAGTAAATGACCAACCTAGATTAGGATGGTCTTTTCAAATAAGTGTAACAGAATACATATCACATCCAGTTTCTCTGTCTGCTGTAATAATCACATTCACAAAAAATAAAACCGTAAGATTATATTGAGTATATTGTGTAAATATATAAAAAGTATGTATTTTTATGCACCTCAAGATAGGTTTTTTCATGTCACATGACCTGATCTTGGGAAAGTTGACTGAAACCGTCCTCATAAACACTAAGGCAAACAACAGATATTAGTAACCTTGGGAAATGGCATACCAAAAATAGCGGAGTCGTCTTTAAGATGATTAAGGTACTCCAGGAAGAGGGGAGCAGATAGAGAAAGAACATGCTTCTCATAGGCATTTACTGTCCCTCTTTCAAATGTAATGACTTATGGTTTTCAGAAGGTGCAGTAAGGTGGTTTCATGTACACGGAGCTTTCTTCCTCACCTCCTCCTCCTCCAAGCTCCCATTCACCCTTTTAAGATTCATCTCATGTCATTTAGGACTCTTCTCTGAGCTTCCCACCATAATCTGACTCCTTACAGGGGCCATGATGAGCTGTGTCCCTGGGCCCCTTACCACAGGGCTGTTAGCACTGCCTGAATCTCAGCTCATCTCTGCCACCCAGCACATGCCTAGCACGTGCTTAGAACATGCAACTGTGGCCTGACATGTCAGACTAATGTTGCTTTTGTGAAATCACATGTACTATAGGAATACATCTGTGCTTCAAGGGAACTTACATTTATGGCAGACAAAAAGACTTAAGGAGTTTGGATATATTTGTTAATTAACACAAAAACAATTTCATGTGTAGTAAATAAACTTTTCATGAAAATCATAAATAGTACTGGGGTTTTAAGCACTACATTTAAAAGCTCCAATAATACAAAGATAACACTACACCTAAGAATATATGTTCACTGTTGATTTATGAAAACCAGTTACAAAAAATGGAAGTTATAAAAACAAATTGAAGCTATACAATCTGTGATGCCTTAGGGCATTTTAATATAAAATATTGAGATATATATTTAATATGATCTCAGCATTAGGATAGCATTCTGACAATGAAAAGCTAAGATACAGGACATGTATCTTATTTAGACTGTATTCCTGTACTCGTAAGAATACTCTGTAGTATCTTTAGCTAAATTGATACCACTTGATTGACTTCTCTTTGCCTTAGTAATTAACAGGCTTATTTTAATTATTATAAAAATTTTAAGTTACAAATCTGGGGTTTCCTTTCATTCAAAGAGATCCTAAAAATCAAACTGTGCAAACAATTTCCTTTAAAAGTTGTGCCAAGGAAAATCTTTAAAGGTAAATTCACATTACACTGGTCTTCCTTAAAAACTACTTCCCATCTCTCCACATGGAGAGAAGGGTAGAGAGAGAAAAAGAACGTATGTTTCTTTTATCTCTTTTTATAAGTGGCAACTCACTCTTTAAGGATCAGAAACAGAAACTTCATTCAAACACATGATATCACTTGTATATAGAATCTAAAATACAACACAAATGAACCTATCTATGAAACAAAAATAAACTCACAGACATACAGAACAGACCTTTGGTTACCAAGGTGGGTGGGCTGGGGAAGGAAAGGATTGGGTGTTTGGGACAGATGAAAACTATAGAAGATGGATAAACAACCAGGTCCTGTTGTGTAGCACAGGGAACTATATTCAGTAGCCTGTGATAAACCATAATGGAAAAGAATATAAAAAAGTATATATACACAGACACACACAACTGAATCACTTTGCTGTACAACAGAAATTAACACTGTAAATCAACTATACTTCAGTAACATAGAAAGAGAAAAAGAAAGACATTCAACATGCAACACTAAATCTATGTAAATTCACAGCACAGCAAAGCTCTCCCAGGGGGTTCAAAGAAGGAAGACCATTCTTCCCTACAGGCCAACCAGATCTGGAAGAGACCCAGGACAGGATTAAAGGAGTATACTTTAGGACTGAAACCCTTTAGGTGGGGGATTGATCTTGCCACTGAAAGGGCATCACAGAGGCTGTATCCAGAAAATACTAATTACAGTCCAGAGAACAGAAGCCCAGTTCTGAGAGAAAACTCAACTAAAGCTGTCTTCCTAAGGAGGCCCTGGAAGACTGAGATGGTCTGTCTGGAGGAGGGAAATGGCATAGACTGTGCAGTCTGGGGGACTTGGGTGTTCCTTGCAGCTTAGCCACTACATAGCCGCAGACAAGTTACCTAACCTCTTGACTCTTCAATTTCCCTCATCTGTAAAATGCAACAATACTGTTTATATCACAGGATTATCCTAAGGACTAGAAAACAACACACAAAGTATTTAAGACAGTTCTAGACAATTGGCATGCGGCAGTTACTGAAACAACCAAGACAGCAATCCAGGAGAGTCGATGAAGCCGTTGCTCCCAAGTCACAAACAGTGGGACTCTTACTTCCTATGTCATACTTGTATCCAATGAGGAAGCTCCAAATCCTGACCAGTAGGGGCTTTTTCTTCCAACATGTTACAGCAGACAATGTGTTCCCACAGTTCTCTGTGCCTCATTATATGGGATGTATGACCTCATGCTGGTGGCCCCACAGGCTCACCTACAGCAGTGACCACACGTTAATTTACATGTTGATTCATGGCTTCACCATTCTTAAAAGGACAACTACATCTAATAAGAAGACTGCCCTAGCTGGCAGTTTGAATGCTAGCCTCACAAGAAACATGAAAATGATCTTCAGATTTTTAAATTAAGAGCTTAAGTGATCAAAAACATTCCCCTCTATAAAATATGATACAACTGATATCACTTACAATATTCTTTCTCAGAAGTAGTTTTTGCTGTATCAAGACAAGAACAAGATGTTCAAAGTATAAAGTAATAAAATAATTAGAAATAAAAATGAGGTGTTTTTTTGCCAATAAAATTCATACAACTTAAAATTATGATAATACCTACTCCATCTAAATAAAATATATAATGGACATCAGGGTATATTAATATGAAACAAATAAGTGGATTTTTACCTAGTTCTAATTAGTCTGTGGCAAAACAGTCACATGAATACACTGTAATAAGTGTAAAATAACATAATTCTTTTTGGAAAGAAATCTGACAATATATATCAAAAGCCTTTATAATCTGTACTCAGTAATTTCACTACTTTGAATCTATCCTACAAAAATAAGTCCTAAATACAGGGAAAAAAACCCTGTTATTATGCATAGTTCATTGCAGGATTATTTCCACTTTTTAAAAAAAATAGCAAATATCTAAAAAGCAGGGAAAAAATGGTTAATTGTGACATTCACTCAATGAATATTGTACACCTATTAAAACTTATATACAGAAACACTATGTCACAACAGAAAAATGCTTACTATATACAAGAGCAAGCAGCATGGTATAAAAGTATATGTATATACACACCCACCCACCCTCAAACACACATCCAGATAAAAATGAAAAAATATGCACAGAAAATATACTGGAAGATAGTTAACTAGTTAATAATAATAATCTCATCATTTACATGATGAGGTTGTGGGCTTTAAAAACAATCTTTTCACCAACATTTTAATGATAAGGATTTTTTTGATTAAAAAATTTTACTTAAAGATGTCATTAGCATATAGCCAAAAAATTATGACAGTGCAATTTTCAAAATGAAATATAACCATGAAGTCTTTATTATAAAGTTCATTAACTTTCAAAAATAGAAAACAATGCCAGCATTAGTTACACTCTACAACACATTTCCCTTATGAGAGCAACACAGGGAGAGAACAAGTGAGAAGAGAGAGCTGTCAGTGTGCAGAAGGCGCTTACATAATTGTCTCTTGCAGACCAGCCTGGATAGAGCTGCATATGTAGCTGTCTTTCCTTCCGCGCTAATTCGTAATATTTAGCCTGCTCTTCACGAGAGAGGGCATGCCACTGAAAAACAAAAAGGAAGGAGGGGGAAAAATCAAGTAAAAGCAAAATAGCAATAGTATTATATATTTCACATTTCAGACAGTGAAGAATGAAAATGTTAAGAATGTAAACTTTGATTTTTAAATGGCAGAAGACCACGTGTTGCAGAAATCCTTCTGGAGTTTGGTGGCTGCAATGAGATTCAAACTTTGGTTTTCCTGTCCTGCTCTCACATTACATGAAACCTGTCCACGTATCCAAAATGAAATGGTCTCTTGCCCAGCCTTTCTCTTCTCCAGGGCCAGTTAAAGAGAATGTTCACCAGTAAGCTTCAACACCCAACTTACCCCTTTTTCATAGTTTGTGGCATATTCTGCCACTGAGTCCAAGTGCTATTTATTAATGAGGAATTTCCACAGGTCTTTTCCACACAGGTATCTCCTCACCTCACATGCATACACTCCTACTCTGTCATATGAGGAATCTGAAACCTTCATCATATGATCCTGTCTATAAAGCCAGACATCAAAAGTCAGTCTGTCTCAGTCTCTTCACCCTTGCTTCACACTTATATAAAGACTGACTGTCCACAGGGAGAACACAGATAACACTGTATAATCACCACGCAGGCTTCATGTTTTGGTCTTCTGATGGAAAACAAGGAGCATGGCCTAAATTTACGCTGACATCTACACTTGCAGACTGTAGGAGCTAATTTGGAGAATGCATCACTTGACACCTTTCAAATTTTCCATTTCCCTTTAGGTAACAGATATTTATAGATCATACAGAGCAAAATAGCAAGGCCCTGTTTGGGATTTTAAGCAGCCTGAACCTTGTACGGAATAACTGACTGGTTTAAGATTGAAAAAGGAGTACAGCAGGGCTGTCTGCTGTTACCCTGTTTGTTTAAACTATACACCGAGCACATCATGAGAAATGCTGGGCTGGATGAGATACAAGCTGGAGTCAAGACAGGCAGGAGAAACATCAACAACCTCAGATATGGAGATGATGTCATCCTAATGGCAGAAAGCGAAGAGGAACTAAAGAGCCTCTTGGTTGAGGGTGAAGGAGTAGATTCAAAGAGCCAGCTTAAAACTAAATATTAAAAAAACTAAGATCATGGCATCCAGGCTCATTACTGCATGGCAAAAAGAAGCAAAAGGTGGAAATAGTGACAGGTTTCCTCTTCTAGGTCTCCAAAAATCACTGTGGACAGTGACTGCAGTCATGAAATCAGAAGACAAAGGGTTCTTGGCAGGAAAGCGATGACAAACGTAGACAGTGTGTTGAAAAGCAGAAACATTACTCTGCCAACAAAGGTCCGTATAGTCAAGGCTATAGTCTTCCTAATGGTCATGTACATTGCGAGAGCTGGACCACAAAGAAGGCAGTTCAGTCGCTCAGTTGTGTCTAACTTTGCGACCCCATGGACTGCAGCATGCCAGGATTCCCTGTCCATCACCAACTCTTGGAGCTTACTCAAACTCATCTTCATCAAGTTGGTGATGCCATCCAACCATTTCATCCTCGGTAATCCCCTTCTCCTGTCTTCAATCTTTCCCAGCATCAGGGTCTTTTTAGATGAGTCAGTTCTTCACATCAGGTGGCCAAAGTATTGGAGTTTCAGCTTCAGCATCAGTCCTTCCAATGAATATTCAGGGCTGATTTCCTTTAGGATTGACTTGTTGGATATCCTTGCAGTTCAAGGGACTCTCAAGAGTCTTCTCCAACACCACAGTTCAAAAGCACCAATTCTTCAGTGCTCAGCTTTTTTTTTACAGTCAAACTCTCACATCCATAACATGACGACTGGAAAAACAATAACTTTGAGTAGACAAATCTTTGTTGGCAAAGTATGTCTCTGCTTTTTAATATGCTGCCTAGGTTTGTCATAACTTTTCTTCCAAGGAGCATCTTTTAATTTCATGGCTACAGTCACCATATGTAGTGATTTTGGAGCCCCAAAAAACAAACTCTCTGTTTCCATTGTTTTCCCCATCCATTTGCCATGAAGTGATGGGACCAGATGCCATGATCTTAATTTTCTGAATGTTGAGTTTTAAGCCAACTTTTTCACACTCCTCTTTTAGTTTTTCTTCACTTTCTGCCATAAGGGTGGTGTCATCTGAGTATCTGAAGTTATTGATATTTCTTCCAGTAATCTTGATTCCAGCTTGTGCTTCATCCAGACGAGATTTCACATGATGTACTCCACATATAAGTTAAATAAGCAGGGTGACAATATATAGCCTTGATGTACTCCTTTCCTGATTTGGAACCAGTCTGTTGTTCCTTGTCCAGTTCTAACTGTTGCTTCTTCACCTGCATACAGATTTCTCAGGAGGCAGGTCAGGTGGTCTGGTAGTCCCATCTCTTAAAGAATTTTCCATAGTTTATCATGATCCACACAGTCAAAGGCTTTGGCATAGTCAATAAAGCAGATGTTTTTCTGGAACTCCTTGCTTTTTCGAAGGTCCAGCAGATGTTGGCAATTTGATCTCTAGTTCCTCTGCCTTTTCTAAATCCAGTTTGAACATCGTGGAAGTTCATGGCTCATGTACTGTTGAAGCCTGGCCTGGAGAATTTTGAGCATTACTTTGCCAGCGTGTGAGATGAGTGCAATTGTGCAGTAGTTTGAACATTCTTTGGCATTGCCTTTCTTTGGGATTGAAATGAAAACTGGCCTTTTCCAGTCCTGTGGCCACTGCTGAGTTTTCCAAATTTGCTGGCATATTGAGTGCAGCACTTTCACAGCATCATCTTTTAGGATTTGAAATAGTTCAACTGGAATTCCATCATCTCCACTAGCTTTGTTCGTAGTGATGCTTCCTAAGGCCCACTTGACTTCACATTCCAGGATGTCTGGCTCTAGATGGGTGATCACACCATTGTGGTTATCTGGGTCATGAAGATCTTTTCTGTATAGTTCTTTTGTGTATTCTTGCCACCTCTTAATATCTTCTGCTTCTGTTAGGTCCCTACCATTTCTGTCCTTTATTGTGCCAATCTTTGCATGAAGTGTTTCCTTGGTATCTCTAATTTTCTTGAAGAGATCTCTAGTCTTTCCCATTCTACTGTTTTCCTCTATTGCTTTGCATTGATCACTGAGGAAGGCTTTCTTATCTCTCCTAGCTATTCTTTGGAACTCTGCATTCAAATGGGTTTATCTTCCCTTTCCTCCTTTGCCTTTAGTTTCTCTCCTTTTCACAGCTATTTGTAAGGCCTCCTCAGACAACCATTTTGCCTTTTTGCATTTGTTTATCTTGGGGATGGTGTTGATCACTGCCTCCTGTACAATGTCACAAACCTCCGCCCATTGTTCTTCAAGCACTCTATCAGATTTAATACCTTGAATCTATTTGTCACTTCCACTGTATAATCATAAGGGATTTGATTTAGGTCATACCTGAATGGTCCAGTGGTTTTCCCTACTTTCTTCAATTTAAGTCTGAATTTGGCAATAAGGAGGTTCATGATCTAAGTCACAGTCAGCTTCTGGTCTTGTTTTTGCTGACTGTATAGAGCTTCTCCATCTTTGGCTGCAAAGAACATAATCAATCTGGTGATGTCCATGTGTAGAGTCTTCTCTTGTGTTGGAAGAAGCTGTTTGCTACGACTAGTGTGTCCTCTTGGCAAAACTCTGTTAGCCTGTGCTCTGCTTCATTCTGTACTCCAAGCGCAATTCTGCCTGTTATTCCAGGTATCTCTTGAACTCCTACTTTTGCATTCCAGTCCCCTATAATCAAAAAGATATCTTTTTTGGGTGTTATTTCTAGAAGGTCTTATAGGTCTTCATAGAACCATTCAAATTCAGCTTCTTCAGCATTATTGTTTGGGGCATAGACTTGGATTACTGTGATACTGAATGGTTTGCCTTGGAAACGAACAGGGATCATTCTGTTGTTTTTGAGACTGCACCCAAGAATTGCATTTCAGACTCTTTTGTTGACCATGAGGGATACTACATTTCTTCTAAGAAGAAAAAAGAAGGCAGAATGTCAAAGAATTGATGCCTTTGAACTGTGGTGCTGGAGAAGACTCCTGAGAGTCCTGTGGACAGCAAGGAGATCAAACCAGTCAATCCTAAGGGAAATAAACCCTGAATATTCACTGGAAGAACAGATGCTGAAGCTGAAGCTCCACTATTTTGGTTATCTGTTGTTAACTGCTGACTCACTGAAAAAGTTCCTGATGCTGAGAAATTTCGCGGGCAGAAGAGGACGTCAGAAGAGGCAGAAGAGGATGTGATGGCTGGATGGCATCACCAATGCAATGGTCATGAACTTGGGCAAACTTTGGGAGATGGTGAGGGACAGGGCGGCCTGGTGTGCTGCAGTCCATGTGGTCACACAGAGTTGGACACGACTGCGTGACTGAACAACAAAATTGGCACTTTGTGTGTGTTTACATAAAACTTGCCCCAGGCCCCCAGTGAGCAGTTTCTCAGTACGTCCTCCTACTTTCCAAATGCCAGGATCTGTTGTCAGCAACTCCCAGAGAACTGGCTGCGCTCTGGGGGCCCCACTGGCCAGAGGCGATGGCGCAGGAGCAGTGGCTGTAGGAGGCTGGGGCGGAGGCCACACCACTTGCGCCTGCACACAAGTGTGCCCACACGCACTCTGGGGGAGGCCCGCTTCCTCTCCAGCGCTCCCGATTCTAGGGTGCGCTGCTTCCATTTCGCTTCCTGTTAAAGGCTGGGTGGTTCTTTCTCATTCATGTCACTGTGCGTATTGATTTTAGTTACTCTCTTCTTGTTTTTTTTAAATGATGGAAAGCAAGCTATGACTGGACTGGAAAAAGGAAGAAGTGAGCGAGAGAGGCCAGTGAGCAACAAGAGGCTGTTCTCAAGGACCACGGTCCAGTGGTCAGGACACAGCCCCGACAGCACAATGGGGACGTGCCCCCTCGAGAGCACAGGCACCTGCTGCCCTTGCCCATGGAGAGGAGGGCCTCACCTCAAAGAGAGCACTAGAGCACCTGCGGCCTCATCCCATCCTCCCCGCCAGTCTCCAGTC